ACAATGTCCCACTGTCTGGCTTCCTGCATAAAGTCAAGTGCTCGGCGCAGTTGTCGGCGAAATGTCGCTCCTCTGTTTTCATTTAAGCAGCTCCTTATATCCGTTAGCGCAGCTAGCTAGCACCAGATGCTAACAACAACAATGCACGTAAGGTCTCTCTCTCGCTCGCTCGAGCCACACATACACACACCCTCCCGGTCCTCCCAATAGCCAGTCGGTGCCTGCCGGTGAGCGTGGAAGTGTGGTCTGCCACAAGCGGGCGGCAGGAGCGGGGCTGTCAGCATCAGCTTGTAGATGGTATTTTAAACTCGATGCGCTCTGAAACTACGGGGCGGCCGAGGACAAAAAATACACATGCGTTAATCGCGTTAAAATAATTAGTGGCGTTAATTTTTTTTTCCTTTGACAGCCCTAATATATATATATATATATATATATATATATATATATATATATATATATAAATAAATACACAGGTGCATCTCAATAAATTAGAATATCGTGGAAAAGTTTATTTATTTCATTAATTCAATTCAAAAAGTGAAACTCATATTATATGGATTCATTACACACAAAGTGAAATATTCCAAGGCTTTATTTGTTTTTAATCTTGATGATTACGGCTTACAGCTAATGAAAACACAGAAATCAGTATCTCAGAAAATTATAATATTACATCAGACCAATACAAAAAAATATTTTTAATACAGATATGTTGGCCTTCTGAAAAGTATGTTCATGTGTATGCACTCAGTACTTGGTTGGCCACACTGCCAAAAGTACTAAGACCTGGTTTAGTGACCATTGAATTACTGCGCTTGATTGGCCAGCAAACTCGCCTGACCTTATTGTCAAGAGGAAGATGAGAGACACGAGACCCAACAATGCAGACGAGCTGAAGGCCGCTATCAAAGCACCCTGGGCTTCCATCACACCTCAGCAAAACCTTATAATTATAAACCAGCTCCTTTTGGTTTAACTGTTTTCTGTAGTTATTTGTCTTTATAGTTTGTAGCTATGTACTTGTAAGTTGTGCTGACTCTGTAAATAGGATTGTTTTGCAGATGGTGTGTGTGTGTGTGTGTATTAAATTGATGGAGTGCTTGTTGTTGTTGGTCTGGAAAGCCTCCCTGGGGACAGAGAGGAGACAGCAACCACACAGCTGTGACCCCTCCCACTAGTATGTGCGCCTGTGTGTATGTAGTGCTTGCCTATACAAATAAAGGTAGGCATACTGGGCACCCTCTGCCAGCTGAACTTATTCTCTACTTGTCTTGTCTCTTTCTCTTACTGTCACGTCCCCCCAGAAGAAAGGATGACTCCCCGCAAAACACAAAGGCCCAAACAAACAAACCCAAAACAAACACATGAGTCATGTCCTACCAGTGTGACTCAATTCATTCTAGTGCTTTTACAAGACCTGCAGCTGTGCTACAGTTATTATGAGACTTCATCAAATCATCAGGGCTCGACATTAACGACTGCCCGATGGCCCGGGCGGGGCCATCTAGTATTTAGCTCGGGCAATGAAGCCTCACCTGCTGGTTGCCCGATCGGGCAATCTATTATGCCAGTATCATGCAGCTCGCGGATCCAGTAATGAGTGACCCGACAGTAAAACTAAACATATCTATAACTAGTTCAGGTAGTTTGAGAGGTAAAATAGCTACGTGTGATATTCTAACCTGAAGTGTGTGTTTTGTCCGCTCACCGCTGCATGTGATCATGCAGAGCTGCGTGTCGACTCGTCAGCAGCAGCTGATCTCTCTTTCCCGTCAGATTAGACTTCACTCGCGTTTATGTCCATATCGATCAGATCCAGCTAGTTCTAGCTAATGATATGACTACCTGCTTATTAAAAGACACCTAAACAATAAGTGTCGCTATGCAACCGGGTGAGGCCACAAAGTATAGCGCAGCATTATGCATTTGTTTACATGCCCACCGGAACCCCGAAGCATTACCAACAGATCAACGCACAATCAACCCATACAGGACATCTCTTTCTCCACATTAAGTGTTAGACATTAGAGTTGACTATTCTTGTCTGTCACATACTCTTTTGTCTGTCACATAAGTGGCTCAACTGAAGCGGTATTGCGCTAAAGGGAAATTATTTTGACCGGACATTTTGACCGGACATTTTGACCGAAGAGATTTAGATTTTCCGGCTAACGGGAACTCTGACGTCGCCATTTTGTGTGCTTGGCGGATGCGCTCGGCTCCTCTCGACTGCTGCTCGGGTCTGCTCGGTCAGCTTCCGGATGAGGAGGCATTCGTTCGACCAACTTACAGTAGATAACATTACAAACATTTTTAATAGGGGCCATAATAGTGTAAATAATGTTTGTTTTGGCATTAATAACTGAATGTAATGTTTTCTACTTTTTTACATCTGGGAAGGCATTTGCCTTCATCAGATGGAAAGTGTCTTGACCAACAACTTAAGTGTTTCATTAAGTGTAAGCATCTAAGACTTGCAAAAATCTAAATGTTCTATGGGGAGGCCCCCCAAACCCTTCGTGCGTCATTTTGTCCGCGTGCATTTTTCAGGGCAATCTCTATTGGGCTCAGGGCCATCTGTAAATTAGCTTAGATGGCCCACAGGGCCATCTCCCAAAATCCTTAATGTCATGCACTGAATCATGCAAACTCACCTCAAAGCAGTGTTGTAGTCAAGTCACCAGGTCTCGAGTCTGAGTCACTCGAGTCCACCACTCTTCTAAAGTCTAATAGAAAGTCTAATAATTCCAACTATTCAAACTTACAGACACCCACATTATTTTCCAAGTGGTCAACTTTCACACTGCAATAGATCATTAATGTCCTTATGTTTTTTAACACGCATTATTCTGAATGTGCTACTAAAGGTCCTGACACACCAAGCCGATTTCGGCTGTCGATAGATGTCTGGCCGTCGATGAGCGTCCTGTCGCCCTACTCAGATTGATGTGTCCCGCACCGTCGTGTCTTTTCGGCCGTGCTGTCAGCCTCCGCTGCCGGCAAAATAAATCACTCTGATTGGCTGTTCAGCTTAGCGAATCAGTGCATGAGAAGCAAAACGGAAGTGAGGTACGCAAACAAACGATTAAGAAGTCACACACACAGACGGCTATTATTTTTCAAAGGCTGATACCGCCAGTACCGTGCTAAACATGTTTTCGATTATAAGTCGTTATGTGAAACAGTCTGTGATGGACGAGAGTGAAAATGGAACGCACACTATTTGTTGTTTGTATACATCACGCAGTCTGTCTTCCGGTTGCCTCTTTTGAAGGACGAATACACAGAGTTATTGCCACTCACGCATGCGCAGTGCGTACTTGCTACTTGGCTGAAGTCTTTGCGGTGTGTTCCAGTGCGACTTTCTGGCCAAGACGCAGGAGACGTGAGGCGATACAACAGTCGAGTCCGTCGGGACGTATTCTTTGGTGTCAGTTTGGTGTGTCAGGGCCTTAAGATGTTTATGGTTCAGTCAAAAATATCATAAATGTAATTGGTCTGAAAACTGTGTGTGTGTGTTTGTGTGTGTGTAGGTATGTGTATACTATTTTTAAAGACTTGTGTATCGAGAAGAACAATTTACCTAAGGCAAGGTGTGGTTAATAAATTCCCCTTTCTCCGCATCCTGGGACCTGCTGTGTGTGTGTTACAGTGCTGGTGTGTATCACGCTAACTATAGGAAATACAGTGTGAGTGGGGTGTGTGTATGCTTGACTGCAGCAGGGAAGTGAAATATCTGGTTCAGTGTGGCGTAAAGGAGCAGGCTTCTACCTCCCCACCATCGCCATGCCATACGGGGGTATGGCATGGCGATGGTGGGATTATCTGTCTGTGTGTGACGGCTTTTCTCGCAGTGCCATGCAAAGCCTGCCACCATCGTCTGGAGCTGCAGGCGGGCTTAACATCACACAGCTGTGTGTGTGTGGTCGATTGAACGTATGTGTAAATGACCTTTTTAGTTTAAGTAACTGGTCAAAAGGTCAAAAATAGGCATTTTGTAATGATATTTTTTAGTTATTACTAACTTCTGACCCGTTGGTGGGGTCCCATGCAAATTCACCAAGGTCACAGCCTATTGATATACATGTTATTATCCAGCATGCACACCCTGTTTTATAAAAGACATGTCGAACAGCAGCCAAAGTATCTCAGTCTAGGTACTTGGCCTTGGAACCAAAGGGTTGCCAGTTCAAGTCCAGATCGAAAAAAACAAAATCACGTAGTTTGCCTTGAGCAAGGCACCGGACCCCCAACTGGCGCCTATTCACCCTGGCACCTCTCTAAATGCATGTGTATTTGTACTGTGTGTGTATTAAATGATGTTTAAACAGTGGAAAATTGAATTTACCCCAAGGGGAATCAATAAAGTTCAATCTTAATCTTGCATGTTTTTCTATACTAATGAAAACAACTGTTAACTTTCACAACTTTATTAAGACAGCACATTGATAAACAGCTGTTGGTGCTATAATATTAGCTATAATTAAAAGAAGTAAAGTACAAAATATAAAATATTATTTGAGTCAAGGCATAGGGAAATAAATTAAAGTGCCACAACAAACAAAGTCTAGTTAACACACATAAACATTTAATGTAACCTTAAAATGTTGCCTATATCTACCACTCCGAAACATGGCTTCATTTACGTACATGGAATGAAGACAGTATTGTTTTGATATTATCATGTGTGAAGGAGACAGTGTTGTTCTTTTGAAAGAGAGGTTAATTTCGTTTACAGTTTAGAGTCTTGTTTAAACGACCGATACGTGAGAACATTTTGGTGTGACATTTTGAGGACATAATAATGACCCACTGCATTCTTCACACAGGAACTATGCCAGAAACCAATTCATTATTTTTACCTTTTTTTTCGGTTTCCCTATGCTTTGTTGAATCCATTGTTGTACAATTTATTCTGTGTCATTTTTCATTGGTATAATCTTAGTATTCTAGTGATTGTCATGAAAAATAAAAATGTACTTTCTCTCTTTCTACAGATGACCCAACTGACGCAGACCTGTGGGTGCTCAACAGCTGTACCGTGAAAAACCCAGCAGAGGACCACTTCAGGAACTCAATCAAGTAATGACAAAACATTTTCCGAACAAACACTATCTCCTATTTTCTATTTGATCTTGGCAGTAGAAAACGGTTAATTTGGTAAAAGATATTCGTAAGGGCTAGTTTGATTGGCTTGTTCAATGAGAAGCAGTAGATAAGAAAACAAACAACAAATCTGAATTATCTAGATGTAGCTTTTCCATTTTGCTTTTAGCTTCCCCTTTAAGACCACAAGTTATATTAAGTTGCTATATGTTTGAGTAGATTCCAAGTCATTCCAAGTTTTGTATGAGATTAAATGATTTAGTCAGAATAATACAATATTATTTTGCACACTGCAAAAAGCCTGCTCAAATTATAACAGCTTCACCCATCAACAAATATAGAGATACACACATACGATTAAAATAGAGTAAAGTGATTTAGGTTCTAGAATGTATTTTGCTTTTCCTCACCACAACACCAAGTACAGCTAAGAGAAAAACATTTGATACTTTTCTCATGCACAACATGTGCTTGTCTTTTTGTTTGTGTGTTACAGTCCATGTTTTCAGCGTGTTGCTCAATGTCAGTTTCCACCTACTCACTGTTACACGCACGCAGGTACACACACACACACACACACACACACACACGTACACACGTACACACGTACACACGTACACACGTACACACTACACACGTACACACACACACACACACACACACACACACACACACACACACACACACACACACACACACACACACACACACACACACACACACACACACACACACACACACACACACACACGGGAGGGCGAGTAAGAGGGAGAAAGACATATTTGCATAAACACAGGAAATTAAGATGGAAACGGTTTTGCATTTTGATTAATATAAATCCATCAGGGGCACACACACCTGGCATGTGTGTGTATTTGTGGGAGGGAGAGAGAACGGAGTCACTGGGTTGACTAAATCATGAATTTACTATTGAAAACAGTTCTTAGATTCACTTCTCATTCAGCTCATTACAGACTGAAAGCAGATGATATCATCATTATTCTATCTTGTGATCTTAATAACTTTTCAATGTAGTCACTATTATCGGATACATCTTTAAAAGTAATTTTACTGTAAAGTTTTAAATAACATGGGTTAGAACAGTGTTTTTCAACCTTTTTTAGGAAAACTAACAACCAAAATGTTACTAAATGACACATTGTAGCCTAATACAGCATATATGTAATGATCATTTAATGACAAGTCTCTCAATTTGGCTGCGAGTTCAGCTCCTAATATAAGTAGTTAGCTTTGAGAGCCCTCTCTTTGTGGTTTTTCTCCTAAAAGTTTCCCGTTTCTCGCAGGCAAACTAAATAGTCTATGTTTTAGTTTTGAAGTGACAGGTGTTTTGTTTGGAATTTACGTTTTTAAAGGGGACCTATCATGCAAAATGCACTTTTGTACGTCTTTTATACATAAATATTTGTCCCCGGTGTGTCAGGGAACTCACCAAATGTCAGAAAACACAACCCTCTCTCTTTTCCTCCATACCCAAATCCCTAAAAACGGGGCTGCAACGGATCTGATACAGACTGATCCAGATTTTAAATATCTCTGACGTCAGAAACGAGGAGCTCCGCCTATATGGGCTACTCTCCACCTATCAGAAGGAGACAGCCACAGCTGTCACTACCCGATCCGTACCCCTGCCCGATCGGTACTGCGCATGTGCGAGATGGTCCGCCATATTGGACAACTCCGGACGGCAACCCAAGATGGACACTTGACACAGTGGCTTTTAGCAAAGCTCAAAAAGAAAACTCGAGAGAGAGAGAGATGAGTTATTGTTATTACAACGTGACTTCACTATTATTTAACAACTCTTTTTATTGGGTTCTTTTATTTGGGGTTAAGTACATTGTCAGAATAAGTGAGAAATGGATTTAACTTCTGTTAGACAGCTATCATACTGAATAAATATTTACTGTGAATGTATGCAAAAATGTATGGCATATGGCTGTCTAACAGAAGTTAAATTAATTACTCAATTATTCTGACAATGTACTTAACCCCAAATAAAATAACCCAATAAAAAGAGTTGTTAAATAATAGTGAAGTCACGTTGTAATAACAATAACTCATCTCTCTCTCTCTCTCTCTCTCTCTCTCTCTCTCTCTCTCTCTCTCTCTCTCTCTCTCTCTCTCTCTCTCTCTCTCTCTCTCTCTCTCTCTCTCTCTCTCTCTCTCTCTCTCTCTCTCTCTCTCTCTCGTTTTCTTTTTGAGCTTTGCTAAAAGCCACTGTGTCAAGTGTCCATCTTGGGTTGCCGTCCGGAGTTGTCCAATATGGCGGACCATCTGGCACATGCGCAGTACCGATCGGGCAGGGGGACGGATCAGGTAGTGACAACGGCCATTGCCGTTAGAAAGCGCTGGAGACACTGTAGTACATATGCCAGGCCTGTAGGTGGCGCTGTAGTCTGCCACAAAAGCAGCGAAGAAGACTTCTCACAGATTCAGCCCTTGCAAAAAACAGGGCTAAAAAAGAGCAAATAGAGCGAAATGAGGCATGGCTAAAATGCATGATCTGTTTGGTATTTTGATTTTTTTTTTCGAAGGCATGTTTTATATAGGTATGGCCCTACAATATATTATTCAAATATAGCATGATAGGTCCACTTTAAGCTAGCTTGGGTCCATTGCACTGTTGGATTTATTTTGCAGCAACTAAATCATATTTTATGTAACCCTTCCCACGGCACACCTGACGATCTTTCACAGCACAGTGGTTGAAAATCACTGGTTTATGGTAATGTGAAATCCAGCTAATCCACCTGAGCCTGTCTCTAGGGGTCATTAGAGGAACTACATGTAGCAAAGATCTAGACTTTTTAGACTTGTGTCTCAACATATCATAAGTGGATATATTTAACGCTAATTGAGTATTTATTAATATCGTTTAAAGGGGACCTATCATGCAAAATGCACTTTTGTACGTCTTTTATACAACAAATCCGGGGCTTATCCGGGGCTTAGCCCCGGATTTGTTGGGGGGGGGGGGGGGTGCAGGGGTAAAGTGCTATTTTTTACAAGTGGGGGGGGTGGACCGAACATCCTTTAGGGGGGTCGTCGCCTCCTCTAGGGGGGTCCGGGGGCATGCTCCCCGGGAAGATTTTATTATTTTATTTTGAAGTTAAAAGCATTATCTGGTGCACTTTGAGAGCAACATTAACCCTACCTTAATAATACCTTAAAGCAGACAAAAGGCACTGGAGAACACTTATTCATTAACACCCTTTAATGAAGCAAACTAATGCCTTAACTCACTCAAATACAGTCGTTTACTTATTTCGGTGAAACTAATGTGCGTAGAGTTTTAAAGGATGCGGAAAGTCTCCCCTTGATTCTGGCGCATTGCTTATCGTTTTATAGATCTATTCCATGGATGTATAATAAGAACTGGATACAGCGTGGAAGGCGGGGCCTCATTCATTCCTATGAGAGTTGCTCATTGGCGCATGGATGACAAAATGGCCCAACTTTTGAGAGATTGAAACGTCACAGATTACCCAGCATGCCTGAGAAGTACCCGTATGTGCACTCATAGAGCATGCGCAACTTTAACCACGCCTCCCAAAAGGCTCGTTCACATCTTCACATCAAGCACGTCAATTTGCGTACACGTAACAGCACCGCACGTTCTGGATTGTTATGATGGATTTGATATGAACGAATAACGAGGCGGCTGCGGCAGTTAGCAGCTAGCGGCTAGCCAGTGTAACGTCCGAGCCATTAGTAATTATGTGTACGTACTAGGGGTGTTGAAAATAATCGTTTCTACGTTGCATTGGGATGCGGACGTGGACGATTCGGTCTCGATGCAGTGACGGAAGATAATCGGTTATAGCGTAGTAACGTTGCTTCCTGATTTTCCGGCCGCGGCTTTACTATAACGTTTTTTTTTCTGTCACTTTAATATCAAATCGGTCGGTGACGCAGAGATCAGGGAACAGACGTGACAGCGGCACAGCAACACCAAACACGGAGTAGTCTGCTTTATCCACCAACCCAACACCACCAGTCCAGAACCAACAGCAGAAGGACCCGCTCTGAATCACTCCGTGTCGCTGCGGCACAGGGATTTATGTTTTTCAAAAATAATCGCGTTACAATCATGTCAGGTTTTTGGTGGATTTAATTAAGTCTTGGATTTCAAAGTATGAATGTCCTCTAGCAATTTTCAGACGATATACGTGTGTAAAGTTTGTGAAGGCAGGAGGAAAAAAGCTTCCGCGATCACCGTCTCCTCCGTTCCTCCAAACCCCGCCCCCTCCCTGAAAATAATGAGTGACAGGCTGATAGTGACCCGATAGAAACTTTATTATTCACTTAATCACTGAGATATAATGAAGCTAATTTAATCTCATACATTCATGGGATGTATGCAACAGTAAGACAGAGAATGTAAGTGTGCACCCACATGCAGTATTTTTGTTTGTATATGCTATTGTAAATACTCCTGTTGTCTGATGTGTTCAGACTCAAGTCCTGTGTGTGATGCCACATTCAGGACATTCAGTGTCCTTTTTTTAACAGAAGACCGTTGCTAGAAGCTGCAGCTAGACTGCAGAAGCATTATTTTTTTGTTTTTGAGGATGGAACAATTTCGCACACAGATATAGGGAGGCTAGACCTATACAATTCATTTATTTTGGTTTATAAATGAATGTCAAGACATTTATGTTATTGATTTCTGAAGCACTTTCTAAATAATAAAAAGAGAGTTCATATGTATTTACTGCATGTATGCATTGATGAAAAATAAGCCATGTGCAGTAATATAGAAAATTGAGGATGCAACGCATTGGTATGAATCGGGATGCATTGGGATGCATCGGGATATCGAATTGAATCGAATCGTTGACAGGATAATCGTAATCGAATCGTGAGACCAGTGAAGATGCACAGCCCTAGTACGTACACATCAATCGTTATGTACTTTTATATTACGCTGATGTAACACGATCTAGTGATGGTTT